AATAAATGACAATAATTGTTAAATGACAAAAATTGCTAAGCCAAGATCAGAGCTAACATCTATCACTGCTTAGAGCCTACATGCCCCACTTTATCATCCCTACATCTTCCAGAAAAGCTCTAAGCAAAGACTCTGAGTCTTTTCTTTATGTGTGCATATGTGTGCATGTTGGTGTGTGTGTGTGTGTGTGTGTGTGTATGTGTGTGTGTGCAGATATGTGTAGGTGTGTCCTCAGGTATCACTTCTCAGGTTCTATCCACCTTGGGTGTTTTGAGACAGGGTTTCATCACTGGCCTGGAACTCACTGAATAGGCTAGGCTGGCTGGCCAGCAAGGCCCAGGGATCTGCCTGTCTCCACCTCCCCAGTGCTGAGATTACAAGCACATATCATCACATCTGCTTTTTTAAAAATTCGTCGACTGAATCATCTTCTCAGCCCCCAGCCTTCTCTCTTATTTCCACCTTTGCCCTAGGAAGGACAGATACCCAATGGCTATCTAGTCAGCAGGCACTATTTTCAGTTTAATCCCTTTTTGGGAGGAGTGCTAGGGATCAAACCCAGGGCCTACAAAGTCTGTACCACCAAGCTACACTCCTAGAAACCGAGGAACTGTGCAGAACTTCTATCCATGGAAGGAATGCAAGCTCAGTGCAGAATGTTTGGCGGGAGGACAAAAGAAAATATACAACCTGGTCATTTCAGTGCCCACAGAGAAGCACTATTAGGCACATGTCTTGTCAGTAATTTGTACAGGCCAAAAGATTTTCATGAAGAGTTTCGGATAAGCATGAAGTCCTGGTGTGTTAGAAAAGGAAAGGCTGTTCACAGGGCCATCACACTGAACAGCAGCGCTGCAGTTGTATGACGCACAGTCTTCACAGGTGTACAGTGCAACCCCGGCTCTTGTGCTTACTTAGCTCAGTGATCCTAAAAGGAAATGTCATAATCTTCTGTGGCAAATGGCTTGTGAACAGTCACCATTCTGGAAAGGATGAGGAGGGATGGAAGACTGTGCCATCCTCCAAGAGTGGGCATATCATCATGTTTGCGGAAACAAAGCCACCACCCTCGGTGACTCTGACATGTGAATCCATCCCTAAAGGGAGTGACTCATTTGGTCTGATGTGGGGGACCAGGGTTCTGAGAAGATGAAGTTTACAACAGCATAGCCTTAGTAAATGGCCAGAGGACAGGCAGAACTCGAACGCAGGGCAATCCCTGACTTAGTAACAGTTCTGTATGCATGGAGTCAGAAAGATCTGGGTTCATGTCAGGTGTAGTGATGCACACCTTTAATCCTAGCACTTGGGAGACAGAGGGAAGTGAATCTCTGTGAGATCAAGGCCAGCTGGTCTCCATAGCAAGTTCCAGATCAGCTGGAGCTACAGGGAGACCCTGTCTTTAAAAACAGAAAAAAAGAAGAAAGATCTGGGCTCAAATCTCAGTTCTTTCATTGAGCAGCTGTTGCCTTTCAGCAAATCATTTAACCTAAGTCTAAGTTCTTTATTTATAAAAATTAAACTGTCGGGCGTTGGTGGTGCACGCCTTTTAGTCCCAGCACTCGGGAGGCAGAGGCAGGTGGATCTCTGTGAGTTCGAGGCCAGTCTGGTCTCCATAGTGAATCCAGGCCACCAAAAAAATAAATAAATAAAAATAAAATAAAACTGCCGTTTTTCTCAGTAGATTTAGATAAGGTTTAAATGATAAAGCCTGGGGGCTGGAGAGATGGCTCAGCAGTTAGGAACACTGGTTGTTCTTGCAGAAGACCTGGGTTCGAATCCCAGCACCCACATGGCAGCTAACAACTGTCCATAACTCCAGTCCCAGGGGATCCAGCAACCTCTTCTGACCTCCACGGGCATTGCAAGACACGGGTGCACTTACCTACATGCAGGCAATACACGCGTACACATAAAATTTAAAAACATAAATAAAATTAAATAATAAAGCCTGATGAGGAAAAGGTATTTCCCTTTTAAAAAGTATTTTTATTTATTATTTTTATTTTATGTGTATGAGTGTATTGCCTGCATGTAGGTAAGTGCACCCATGTCGTGCAATGCCACCAGAGGTCAGAAGAGGGTGTCAGATTCCCCTGGAACTGGAATTAAGACTGTTGTTAGCTGCCATGTGCATGCTGGGAACTGAACTCAAGTCCTCTACAAGAGTAGCCAGTGCTCTTAGCTGCTGAACCATCTGTCCAGCCCCAGGAAAAAGTATTTTCTAACAATTGAGTGCTAAGTACTGGGTATTGAACAAAGCACTTTACCTACATCATCTAGTTCAACCCAGCAACCTTATGACGGTCGGATTCTATTTTTGTATCCAATTCTAGGTGAGGAAACCGAGGCTCAGAGCTGATCACTTGCCCAACTGGGCTGGGGCTTGAACTGAGCTCTGTCTTCAAGTGATACTGTTCCCTAAAACAGGTGACTCTGTACAGTGCTTACAAAATACAAACATGGAATAGCAGCCGTAATTATTTATTATTATTGTGAATGTAATTACTATGTTACATCTGATTGGCCGGTCTCTGCTTGTAATCTCCTAGACAATCAAGAACTGGACTATCCTAGCAAGGACAGTGGTGCCGGCCTCCCCTGGCCCTCAGCTCTGCACATGCTCCCAGGGAGTAGTGAAGTCAGGCACCAAGGTTTGAGCAGTGTGCTTCAAAACTCAGTCCCTCTGAGCTGTAGGAGTGAAGGTCTGGACGTACGTGTCCTGCCTTGTGACTGAGAGGGCTCCTGTGGGTGGAGTCTCGTGACCGTGCACACTAGCTCCTGGCATCCCTGCATGCCTATCCCAGACCATTAATCCCACCATCTCACCTAGGGTGCCTTCTGGAGGCTTTCTGTGTGAGAAGACACAATGACCTTCTGCTGATCTCCAACAATGGGTGTGAGTGACTGCAGAGGACCCAGAGAAGGAGAGGACCCATTTATAAAGCCCAGCAAGCACAGACATGCCACCTGAAATCCCAGCCCCCTTCCCCCACGCCAGCCATGAGTCACCCTACAGCCATTGCAACACAGCTGACAGAAACTCTCCAACCTTCCACGGGGCGAGCTCACAGGTACAAAGAGAAGTGTGCCATCCTTTGGACTGCAGCGAGCACCAAGCGGCTGCTCTCACTTTACTCCTGAACTCTGCCACTGCCCACTCCTCACTTGCATGGAAGTTTCCTCATCTAAAAATGGAGATAATAAAAAAGTTCCTGGCTCACGTTTGGTAATGGGATAATGCATGTGAGGGCTTGGCACAATACCTGATCTGCGTGGCACACTGAACACCTACTGGGGGCCAGACACTGAAGTGAGCACTGGAGAGTTGCCAAGACAGACAGGCCTCTGCTCCTAGGAGCTTGAATTCCAGGGTGAAGAGGAGACGGACAGCTAAGGAGAAAACTATCAAAAAATCTTTGCAGGGAGCACAATAAAGTGGTGTGAAATCCAGTGACTGTCTACTTTAGCAAGAGTGACTAGAGAGGCCTGCTCAGAGGCTGTATCCGCAGCCGTATTTGCTATTGTTAGGGCTCCCTAGGGTGCCCTCCTAACAGCCTTCAGGGAGAAACCAGACTCTGACCAGTTTCAAACCCAGTACTCCTTCTCCACAGGTCTTACCCCAACCTAAGAGGGCTCCGTTGAATTCTAACTTTATCCTGAAAAATCTCCATCTACTTGGCAGGAACTTTCTTCTCAGGGTGAGGAGAGGGCCAAGGTGAGGTTCTCAGGAAGACTGAACAAAGAAATAGTTTGCCAAGCAGGGGGTAGGAATGCGGGGAGGGTAAAAGTAAGACCCCAAGATGTTTGGTTTAGGCTTTATTTCGTTTTAATCCTGGTGTCCTGTTGGGGATCTATGGGCCCTCTAGCTTTACCACTTCTGCTCTTTACAGAAGACAGCACACAGCAACTATCACTTTGTTAAACGGGAGACTGATTTCTCCCAAGCCCCCAGTACAGAACGAAGCGCTTAAAATGACTAGCTAGCCAAGGCTTCTGAGGCAGCCACCTTCAACTTTTCCATCCTTTCTGGCCTGGCCAGAGGCATGTGGTCTGCCCACATCCCATTCAGATTGGCATCACACCAGATGAAAGGCTGCCCTGCCCTACTTCCCTACCCCCACCACATACACACTCCTCCGGTGAGAATCAGGATTTTTTTTTACCCATTGCCCAGAACTCAGAACAAGAGGACCTTGCACACACAGTGCTCAATGGGTGTCTGCGGACTGAGGCCACAGGCTTCAGCTCACAGATGGAAGAGCCTGTCTCACAGACGACTTAACCAGATTCTGAGACCAGCACTAGCTTCTCCCTTGGGCAAGTCCCAGTACCTCTACAGCCTCCGTTTCCTCCCTCCTCTGTAAAGTACCGTGGGTTGGGGAGGGGAGTAAGTCCACCCTAGTCGGCTATTATGAGACTCTAAAGAAATCACTTGAATAACTAAAACAGTCTTCACAAATGTTATGCGAAAGGGGAAATCCCGAAGGGACTTGCACAGAGGGCCACTACCTCTCCCCTGTGATAGAGAAGTTAGGGGCAAAGGAATTTGGTGTTTGCAGGAGACGTTTCTAGATCCTGGGATCTGAACCAGAAACAGGTAGAGATCTCCTTTAAGCCAAGTATCTATCCCTGTATTTTTCCTCTAGCTATGTTGCTTCCCAATCTTTTATTCCTGCCCCCTCCCTCATCTCCGCCCCCCACCCCCTCAGCAAGGAAGGAATTGGCCAGCTCCACCCAGTCAGCCCCCCATAGCTCCGCCCCTGCTGGTGGGCCAAGAGTTAACAGCTGCACCTGCTGTGGTATACCTGCAGTCCTCCGTAGCACCTGTAGCTACAGCCAATCAGCACCAACGCCGTGGGGAACCGCTGTCAGCAAAAATTCAACACCCAAAGCTCAACATAAATCAAACACTTCTCTGGGCAGGGAATGTCTGTGTCAGGCGAGAATTAGAGACAAGCGGTCAGCAGAGCCGCGGCGGAGCCCAGAGGATAGATCGTCGGAGCCAGGGAGCAGGAAGATGTCGAATGAACTTGAGTGAGTAAACACTGCGGATGCCTTGTGCTCAGAGCCAGCGTGGAAGGCTGGCTGGGGTTCCAGCCGAGGGAAGAACAGAGCCGGGAGGCCGGCGCCAGGATTCACACGGCAATTTGTAAGGGTGAATGAATGGGCTGACGAGCCTGCTTTAGCGTGTTGAGGCAGGTTCAGCCTTCAATCTAGAGCTGACTGTCTCCCTGGGAAAATAGTTTTCCTTTTTCTCTCTGCTGAGCAGTTTCGAGCTAGGCAGGGAAACACAGGACTGAAACTGTGAAGGTTCTTGGCACCGCTTTTTGAAACTCTGAAGAGACCTTGGAAACCAAAGACATGCCAGCCCGGTGGAGCTTTCTTTCCTCTTGCCAAAAGGAACTTCTTTGAGGTGGTTCTAAGAGCTGTCTTAGGCAGAGTTGGGTTTCTCTGAAGGGACTTGTTTGTTGAGTTGGGATGATCCCAATTGAGAAGTCCACAGTTGCTCAGTTGGTCAAATACACACTCTCTGTAGTGGGCCTACCTTCAGTTCAAGTCCAGGTTCTGTCCCTCCCAAGCTGTGTGATCTTGGACAAGCCGTTTGGTTTATCTGAGCTTCATTTTCCCCATCTAGAAAATGGGAACAAGAATGCTTTGTAGGATTTTTTGAGTTAAGCGTGCTGAAGGCTGTGAAACGCTTACCAAAGACCCAGGGTCTGAAGCTGTGCTCTATAAAATGTGGTCAGTTTTAACCAAAGGCTGGGGAAGCTGAGGAGTAGTTTTTGGTGAGGTCACCTCTGTTACCTGGCAGGATGCAGGTGTGTTCCTGCCCACATCTGGGATTCAGAATCCCAAGTGGCTGATGCTGACCTCACTCTGGGCCCTTGCTTCAGGTCCAGACCTCAGAGAAGGTGGGACGAGACAGACAAGGACGTGGGCTGCTTTAACTTGGGGGCAGAGAGCTGGCAAAGCCAGACTTAAACGCCAATTTTCCTCTTCCATCTTCGGAGATGAGTGGGCAGAGGCCAGAGTCAAACAGCTGTTTTGTTTTTACCTTTTCTCCTTTCTCATGTCTGTCTCTCAACAGATTATTTTAAGAACTTAAACACTTGTAGGCAGAGGAATTGGTGGGTCCTCGCTGCAGACAGGATCCCATCATACCTCTTAGCTCTTGGGTCCCTCTGGGTTGGCCAATCACATTTACAGTACAATCACTGTGGTTGCAAGCATCAGATTTCTTTTCGAATGAATTCCTGGGGCTAACAATGTGTTGACAATTGGACCCCAAGTAAAGAGTAAAACACATTGTGCTGGCACCTGGGCTCAAGCCTCAGCTCTGTCACTTATCTGTGTGACTTTGGGCTAGCCACTTTCCCTGCCTGTCAGTTTCTTCACCTGTAGACTCTGTTCAGTAGTCGTATTGATAGAGTGGTTATGGCATTTAATTTCAGACCAGTGATTGCTTTAAAACCTGGTAGAGAGCAAGCTAATACTGCCATTTTTACTTGATGTAGAAATAAGCAATTGGGCATTTCCGAGCCCTCTCACTTTCTGTTTCCATATTTTGAACACACACAAAATTGAGATACATCCATCCATCACACTTAAACATGCTGATTAAAAGTGCAGAGGCTACAGACAGAATCTATTCAGGTTTCTTCTTGCTGTGTATGTGGGGGAGTGTATATCCTGAAGCTGGTTTCTTGGACAGAAAGGTTTCCTGCTTGTGGCTTTTAATGATCTGGATTTGAAGTCAGATCCACTGACAGTGGCGACTTCATCTGTTGGAAACCTGTACCTGCTGAGTAACTGCGGGCCAACTTTGAGGCTACCATTTGCAATTACAATGGTAAAGCCTGGGGGCTCAGCTGCCCCTGTGATGGGGGAGGGGGGTGCCTAGTGCTTGGCTCTTGCAAATTCTGCAGTGCTGGTACTGATGCTGAGGTTTTGGTCTTGCTGTGGCGGTTCTTGGAAGAACATACTGGGCCAAGTGTACATCTGGAACCCTCAGAGAATGAACAACTAACTTGTCAGCCCTGAGGCAGGAAAAAAGTCAGACTTGCATCCCTTGGATTCTGCCATCACCAACTGCAGGATCCTAGTTTGTCCTCCCTGACCCTCAGTTAAAATGAGGGCTATAAACACACATACCTGTCAGGGGAAGCTGGGGTAGTGGACCACCTGCCCGCCAGCTGATTCCTAGGCCTAGAGTGGGAGACAGGGCTTAGAAGGCCAGCTGTTAAGGCGCATGGAGGCCAGGCAGTGTAGTCAGAAACCGGCTCAAGGCAGCTGGTGGGTGGTAAGTGCCTGGCCTTTCATGTGGTCGGGCCCAGCGCCGGGCACCTCTGCCAGCCATGGGCCTCAGCCAGACAGCCACCCTGAGTGCTTCCAGCCTGCAGTTTAGCAAACCCTGTGGCAGGAGCAGGCTGAAAAGGCTCCTGGGCCTGCTGCCCTGCACCTGTGCAATGCCCACTATGGGTCTTTCTGAGTGGACACTGTCTAGCAACAGGCTCCACCCTAGTCTAGGGATTGCAGGGGGCGGGGCGGGGGGCAGGGGGATGCTCAGTAACCTTTGGCCCCATCGGAGTTCCCCGAGGGTCCTGAGGCCCTACTATGTGCAAGGCTGCCTGGGGCACCTGCATAGTGCTGCCCCGCTGGAGGGAGGGCTTTGCGACCCTGACACTTTTGGCACATAGTAGGTCCATCGCACAGAAGCCATGCTTCAGGACTCTGGCCATGGCCTCCCGCAACGCGGACCCTCTGCCATCATGGAGGGGAGCCACAGAGGTGGCAGGAGGCTAGAGGGCCTAGGGCAGCCTGGGCAACCTCGATCTGATCCCAGACCCAGCTGCACAAGGCCCGCAGCGCTGAAAGAGTTAACCCTGAGCGCCGCCCCGCTGCGGTTTTGTGGTCGAAACCATGATTGCCAGGAGCAAATTTTTGTCGTGCAGGAGGTGTGTTATTAAAAGTCGGAGTTACGTGGCTGGTGAATGAAAAGTTAAAAGCCCTCATTAAGCTGGGGCTGTAAAACGAGGTGGAGCTGCCCGAGGGGCGGGGAGAGCGTGCTAACGGAGGCTGCGCGGGGCCGGGGGTTCCGGGGTGGGGGAGCCTGGGACCCGGGCTGGACCCAGCACCGCGGAGTTCCAGCATGAAGAAGGGACAGTGCCTGAGCCCCGAGGTTCCCGGCACCCGTGTGTAAAGTGCTTGCCAAGCACATCTGCATCCTCCCAAAAGAAGGCTGGGAGGGTGCATTGCGGTTGCGCAGAGGAGGGACCCAGCCCTGGTTTAGCCAAGAGCTCATGGAGATGCTGAGGACTCCCTTGTGTCTTCCTCCAACTTCTTATATGCATTGGGGACTGTTAGCAGTGGGATTTCTCTGCTTTCTAGTCTTCGGTAGGGCCTTGTTTTATTTATTTATTTATTTATTTATTTATTTATTTATTTATTATTTATTTATTTATTCATTCATTCATTTATTCATTCGCTCATTCATTCATTCATTCATTCATTCATTTGATACAGGCTCTCTAGGTAACCCCTGGATGGCCTGAAAACTCACTAAGTAGCTCAGGCCGGCCGGAAACTTATGATCCTCCTGCCTCAGCTTCCCCAGTGCTGGGATTGAAGATGTACAGCACCACACCCAGATCACATTTTATATATTTGTATTTTACAAGCCTGTGACACTTTTGAAATGAGAAAAGGAAAGAGAGTTATTATCTGTAAGAAATAATTATTGGTTCATCTAGAACAGCGTTCTCAAAAATGCAGTCCCCAGGACTAGGGGACTCAGTGTAGAGCCCTTGCCTAGCATGTATAAGGTCCTGAGCGATCCCTAGCACCAGCACCCAAAGTAAGAAATAAATAAATAAATAAATAAATAAATAAATAAATAAATAAATAAATGTCCCTGGCTCATGGGAACTTAGACATGCAAATTCTCAGCCCTACCCTAGACCTACTGAATCAGAAGCTCTGGGGGTGGGGCTGGCAGGCTTTCTGGATGATTCTGATATGTGCTCAATTTTTAAAAACCACTGGCCTAGAAGACCAGGTTGAGCATAGAGATTCCTAGGTTGGCCACTGATCTGCTATATTATTGCCCAGTGAACAGAGTAAGAGCCCCGCTCCAGGGTTGTGACTTTGCTTAAAGCCATGGCATGCGCAGCTAAACATACACATACGCACAAAATAAATTCTATATAATTTTTTTTTTAAGTCAGAGCAGCTGACCTAGTGAAAGTCTTAAGGAACAATTAGCTCATTGACATTTGGAGTTATTGCTCTGGGCCAATTCAGGGGATCAGCAAGATCTGGGAATGTTGGAGGGTAAAGATAGGGTAGGATTCACGCTGTGCCCTCGGTGCTCAGCACATGCTGTCCATCATAGAATAACCCTCTGAGAATGTTTGCTGGATGAATCAGTGAGTGAATGAATGAAAGGATGCAGCATTCTGAGATAGGGGTGAACTTCAACTTTTTTTTCACACCTCAGTTGAACAATAGAGATAGAAAAACAAAATCAGACCAGAAACTAAGGAAATAGAGTGTGAAAGAAAAAAATTCCCATATGGGGAGACTCTTTCAAAGAGCAGTAAGTGAGCTTCTGGTCTAATTAAAAAGTAGTACATTATTAGCAAGGCATGGTGGCACATGTCTTTGATTCCAGCACTCCGGAGGCAGAGGCAGGCAGATCTCTGTGAGTTCAAGGCCAGCCTGATCTACATAGCAAGCTCCAGGCCAACTGAAATTACAGGGAGACCCTGTCTCAAAAGACTAAAAAAAAAAAAGTATGTTATTAAAAGTAATTTACAGTTTACATGCAGCCAGCCAGTAGTGTTGGCTGGAGCCTGACCACCCTCAGCCAGCCCACCTGGATCCAGATGAGGAAGAGATGACCTATTTGACAGGCAGGGGGAAAGTGAGGCTGTACATTGTGCAGTTTGCTAGGACGACCCCGCCCCCCAAAACATGAGTGTCAGTAGTAACAGTAATAATGGTTCACATGATTATGTGCTGGCTCTGTGCAGATC